CTTAACCTAACCCTAACCCTTACCTTTATGTGAATCGGCTTGCTTTAATTTTATTTTTATTTCTATTTTAAATTTTTTTCGTCGCGCTGTGATGACGTCACGTACGCGCTTTCATCAAGCGCGCTTTTGTCTACCGCGGTTTTGTGGTGGAACCCTTAAGAATACCAGGCAAAACATTCACCATAATGATTGAAGTGCAAATTAAATGTTTTTTTTGTTTTTTTTAAATCTGGGCACAAATTAAAGTGGTACATTATAAATCCAGTAGAAGCTATTTCAGTCCAAGTTCTTTTGGGCTACCGTAATTTAGGTTGTGGTTTTTGAAAAATCGGATTCTTTTCTATTAAATATATGCCCGAGCTTCCCCTTCCTTTTTCTAATCCTTCCCTTTTCTCAAAATTAAATACAGCTCAGCTGTACTCTTCAGAAGTGCTAAAACAATTGAAGTCTTTCCAGTGAATAAAGATACATCTTGATATTGAGGTCTCTGGTTTGACCAATAAACATGTCCAATGCCAAAGGCTACATTTCTTAAGGATTAAGGATTGTTCTGTTTGACAAGAGACTTCATTTAATGATACGTATGGATGGAAAATCCTAGATATGTTGCCTTATCTTCCGCTCAGTGTTCAGATAAGACCAGGAATGATCTGGGCAAAGGAAATTTGATCTATTTACAGGCTGCTTTTGCACTTAGCCAGCATGAGGTAAAGGGTCCATATGGTTGATGGGACTCAGGTCTATAATTTCCAAGAGGAAATGGAGAAACAACATACAGGCTTGCTCTCTGCAGAAAACATGTAGGCAGAGCTTGCTTATGCATCAATAAACAAGAGCACTTCTTGGGAGAGTCAATTTAAAGTCTGCAGAAGGACTCTGCCTGCCCTTCAAAGCATCCGTCTTACATCACTAGTGGACCTTAAGACAGCCTAGAATTATGCCTGTGACATATGGCCCAATGTCATCCCCACTGCTACCAACCCCTCTAAAACAGCTGGTGGGAGTAGAGAAAACATGTGATAATTGTTTATTCATAATGGTAGTGGCATGTGGACGGGATTTAGGGGTTACTATTTCTTTTTAATAGGAAAGGAATAGATAATTACCTCCAATAGACCGATTAGATCCCACAGATTAGGCCTCCTCCGAATTCCATCCACCGGCCAATGCCAGCTGGCGACTACCCGGAGGAGAGTCTTCTCTGTGGCTGCTCCGACCCTCTGGAACGAGCTCCCCGTGGAGATTCGAACCCTCACCTCCCTCCAGGCCTTCCACAAAGCCCTTAAAACCTGGCTGTTCCGACAGGCCTGGGGCTAAAGAGCTGTTGCCCCCCCCCCCTCGAATGGGATGGTTGTTTTGGGGTTTTTTTTTGTGTGTTTTTTTTTTTTTTTTTTTTTTTTTTTTTTTTTTTTTTTTTTTTTTTTTTTTTTTT